GCCACGGTATTCTCTTGGCGATCGGATCATTCATTCATCTCGGCGGCTCCACCCGACTTGACAAAACAGGCGAACACGAAAAAGATTGATGTTCGGATCAGGGACCAACTTTTCGAACTGCACGTTCCACAATATGTGCCGAATGAAATCCACCGAGTAATTGCGGATAACGGAATATCAAGGAACAATTCATTTGTCAGACACTGACATCAGGTTGTCATTAGTAATCCAACATGAAATTCGGACAGGAAATCAACCCCCCAATTCATTGCAAACCTTATCGCTACTCCTTGATTGAACGCAAAAAGGCTCTCAAACGAATTCGGGAGTTCGAGGCCAGTGGTTGGATTGAACGTGCTGCCGGACCTTGGTCCTTTCCCGTAGTATTAGTGCCGAAGAAAAACGGGGCGATTCGCATTTGCATTGATTATCGCAAGCTGAATGAAATCACGATCAAGGATGTGTATCCCCTCCCCCGGATTGATGATTTGCTGGATGCGATTGGGTGCGCTAATTATTTCAGCAAGTTTGATATTCGGCATGGCTTCCATCATATTCTGGTAAGGGAAGAAGATCGGCCAAAAACGGCCTTTGTGTTGTTTGAGGGTACGTGGCAGTGGGTTCGGTGTCCGATAGGGATTTGCAATGCGCCTGCCACGTTTCAGCGAGCGATAAACATGACGTTCCATAATTTCGTCAACAACACACGACTAACGCAAGGGATGATCAACTTCTGTGTGATCGTGTACATGAACGACATCCTGGTCTATTCGGAGACCTATCATGGGCACGCGCAACACATCGATTGGACGTTGGGCGCACTTAGAGACGCTGGGTTCAAGATTGTGCTCGAGAAGAGCGAATTTTTCCTCTCGGAAATTTCGTTCTTGGGCTATGTTGTGACATGTGGAGGATTGCGGCCAGACTCGAGAAAAGTTGTGGCGGTGAAGGAAGCCCTGGTTCCCACGTCACTAATGCAGGTTCGAGCCTTCTTGAGACTGGCGTCGTACTACCGGCGCTTCATCAAGGGCTTTGCCGCGATTGCACGACCGCTAACGAACCTGTTACGGAAGGACCAACCTCTCAGTTGGGACGCGGAGTGTCAGCAAGCCTTTGCAACCCTCAAAGACGCTCTGGCAACGGCCCCTATTTTGATCCGACCGGACCCCTCGAAGCAGTTCATTCTCATCACGGACTGACAACCGGGAGCCATTTCCGCTATTTTAGCACAGAAGGGGAACGATGGTCGCGAACACGTCATCGAGTACGCGTCTCGAACCGTACCGGACGAACGAAGAAACGACTCCGCACCTCAAGGCGAGTGCTATGCGGTAGTTTGGGGAATCCAGCACTTCCATCCGTATCTCTACGGACAGAAGTTTCGCCTCGTAACGGATCACGAGCCTCTGCTGGCGTTGAAGAAGCTCACCAACTACACGGGCATGATTGGCCGTTGGGCGGTGCGATTGCAAGAATACGATTTCGATATCGTCCATCGAAAGACAGAGCGACACGGTAACGCGGACGGGCTGACACGTCTGCATCGACCTGCCAAGGTACCAAAGGGCGAGGAAGTCACACCGTGGAAGGAGCCGGATTTGACCAACGAGCCTAAGTACGGACAAGTGGCAGTTCTTCCACGTGGCAAAAAGTGAAGCGCTGACGATTGGTGATGGAGGTAACCCCACTACCCCTTTTTCTCCCCCTTCCTCTTCGTCTCTCCTCTCCCTGCCTGACAAATTTTGCTATTTTTGCGAAGCCATCTCCTGCGTCTATTCGGTCTCCATGCGTCCTAACGGGGAAGGGTATGCGGATTGGATAGATTGCCGACAGTGTGTTGCACGAGCCCATGGCTCGTGCATCCAATACAGAAACGATAGTAAACCATGGTTGTGCCCTTTGTGCCGGACCGACAAAATTCCGACCGAGGCTCATTTTTTGGATGCCACGTCAGAAGGATTGGAAAAAAAACGGAAGTTCAAAAGGGTCGAAGTATGGACGAATATTGTCTTAATAACCACCCTAGTAGGTAACCCTCTCCAGGATTTCACCAAGGAAGATCGGAGGAGGGTCAACGAAAGGGCTCGGGATTATCGATGGATAGAGGGCAGATTAGAAAAACGAAAAACAGACGGCAGTGGGATTTGGATGGTAGTGCCGCATCCGTTTATGCGGTATGACGGAGATAAGATAGCCCACGAGGAAACTGCGGCTCATTTTGCCGTACGAATCACGAAGTCCGCTATTGACAAAAATGAGTGGTATTGGTCTAATATCCGCGACGATGTGAAATACATTGTCGCCAACTGTCAGGTCTGCGCCGCTGACAAGGCGTCGATTCAGCCGCCAAGATCGATAGTGCCCACGGTTGTTGAACGGCCATTTCAAAGAGTGAGCATGGACACTACCGACATAGTGGTGCCCCCTGGCCCTAATAGCTGCGAATATTTAGTCCTATTGGTATTTGTCGACCATTTCTCGAAATAGATCGAAGCGTATCCGTGTCGCACGCGGCAAGCGACGGAAATCGCGCGATATATCAACCGTTTCTTCGGGATGCATCAGGATATGGAAGAGATCCTGACCGATAACGGAGCGAAATTCAGGGGAGAAGTGTTAAAGAACCTGGTCATACATGGCGTCGCCATACGGAACACTACACCCCACATGTCACAATCCAATGGGCTGGTCGAAAACGCCAACCGGGTGATAAAGACCGCATTACGACGAAATATCGCGGCACGGGATCCGAGGCCCTGGCCGGACATCGTTGATCACATCATGGCGGTCCATTGTGGAACGCCTCACAAATCGACGGGGCTAAGCCCCTTCCAATTAAGGACCAACAGCATCGCTTGCGTTTCGATACCAAGCCTCCCGGATGAGTCCACACTGAATCAACGGCCCACCAGGGCCACGGCTTGGGACAAGGCCAAACGGCACCTAGAGCTAACGGAACGGTCACTACCCAACCCGTAAACGACAGGAAATTACCAAACTAGCCCAAGGCCGGCAGGTCCGGAGCTAAGAGGCCCGAAATGGGAATGCGGGTCCGCGGACCCAGTACAAATTAGGGGACGTGGTGCGGGTGAGGAAATGTGCTCACCAAGGTAAGCTAGCGCCATGATTCTTCGGGCGATATCGCGTAATCGAACTCGGACCAAACGGTGTGAACACCGTGCGACTTGCGCCCAAGGTCTCCGGCAGCCGATCAGCTCGTCCGATCACACGCCACGTGTCCTATCTTCGCCTCCTCCCCTCTGCTCCGACTCCTTCTCCCTCTTTTTCTCTCTCTGAAGAAGCCGAGGACGACGACTCTTCCTCTCCGGCATCTCCCTCTTCCTCTTGCTCCCGCTCTGCCTCCCCGTCACCATCGCCATCGCCATGAGATTTCTGGAGGAGAGAGCCCTCAGCGAAGCAGCGCTTGCGCCCCGTGATCGATTAACGATCCGGCAGGTCTATCATCCCTACCTCAGTCCAGACCTTCGGCGACTTGCGCACTTTTTCTGCACGGAAGGCGTGTATGCAGCGGCAGTGTTTCGAATCAAGGGCCGGCCCAACGCAGTGGAACTGGCCGAGGCAGTAGCGGTTCATCAGCGAGCGGCGCCAGGTGTCAGCCGCATATCGGTCGTCGTCAACTTTCGTGGCGATCTTTCCACACTCCTCCCTTTACGACATTCGGTGGTGAGGACATCGCTGCGTGCGTGGGCAAACGACCTGGTCGCCGAGTGGACTCAGCTTCTGGCTCGCCCCGGGGACACGGGCGTGACGGCACGAGCAATCGAATACGACGCCCTTCGGATGTACCAGCGTGATCCGCCGGCGGTCCTCCCTGTCATTGTTCCCTTCCCTCGCCCCCAATGAGTCTTTCTTCGATCTCCGTTTTTTATCTCCCCTCCACCTTCCCCACCTTCTGGCAGTCTGATATCCATCCTCGCCTTTCCTACTGTCTAACGACCCTTGTTGTCCCCGACATTCATCCCCCATATTGAAACCTGTGGCGCGAAGACTTCGTCGAGCTTTCACTGTGCTTGGTTGAGGTACGGCTGACGTGGACCGAGGACAAAGCGCGCCTGCCTTGCATAGAGCGCCGGGAGTTGCTTTTCATCCAGGCTTGGCGAACCAACATGGAGGGAGAGCTCCTCGCGTTCTTATTCGGGATAGTACGGCCCGACCATCAGGAACTGATCACGCAAGAGCTCACGATCCCGGTAGCACAGCTGGCGGATGACCTCCCTCTTGACATCATCTCGCAGGACGACGAGCATCCAGTTCCCTACGTTCTTTCTCGCACCTTGACCCCTCACCTCCAGTGGTCGGCTTGCGTAGAAGGAGCCGCGGAACGCATCCCGCCGTCACAGCAATAACAGTTGGATCCCAGGGCGATTCGCGATCCTGCCTTCTTCAGGCAGCCAACGGCGGAGCAGCTTGCTGCCATTCGAGAGGAGGAAGAGGAGGAAGAAAGCACTGAGAGCGAAGAAGAAGAAGAAGACGAGCGGGAAGAAAGTGGAGAAGGCGACGAAGTACTCGGGGAAGAGGACGAAACCCTCGAAGAAGAAAGCTATAGCGAGCATAGCGAGGGGGAGCAGAGCGAAGAAGAAGAAGAAGAAGACGAAGGAGAAGAAGGGCACGAAGAAGAATCTGTTGAATCAGAGTGGGAAGCCGTGTCGAAATAAGCGCTGCGCACAGGTACAGAGGCAGAGGATCCCGAGGTGGCCCGTAAAAGGAAAGAAATCGCGACCGAGAAGAAGGTGATAGAACTCACAAGCGCGCCGAGTCTGCAGATCTGCGACGACCCGAACCGAGATCCGGAGCCGCCCCGACCTGAAGATGGCGACCTCGTGGCCACGACTCAGGCCCCATCGGCACGGCGACGAAGCCGATCCCCCTCCTCCCCAACCCGTCCCCCAGTTCGCCAACGTACTGATACGGGCGAGCGGCCTTCGTCCCCGATCACTCTCTCACCGTCCCCTTGACTACCTCACCCTTCGCCAACTCACCACCCCCGTCACGTTCCCCTCCAATCCGTTCCCCCGCAGTACCTTCCGCCACTTTTACGCCGCTCGCCTTGCTGTCGTAGTGCATCCCCATCTCTCCCTCCGATGCGTCGTCCCGGCCTTTTGCCTCCATGTCTTGCTTCTCAGTGCCGCGTGGCGAGGCCACAATATGATTGAGGTTTATTGCATAATAACGGGGACCATCCCCGCATGCGAAGATCGCGATCGTTTTCGCGCGGCGCTCTTCCGAACCTTTACCACCCGCTACCCCGACTATCTCGCATCCCTCCCTCGCACTGGCAATCGATTCCCCTGTTTCCATCGCATTGTTCGTTACCAGGAACCCTCGGAGACTGCAGCCGGTGTCAGGCGGCCACAAGCAGTGCGCCGCCTGGATTCTGCGGCTTTGGGACTTAGGCTCAAGGACGAGTCTGTGCTTTGATGGTACTCTGGTTTGACTGGGCGACAGAAATTAGGGGAACTCAGGGTACCCCTGATTCTGGGCATACTGAATCTTACAAGTAACCCTCAAAGATAGCGAGATGGGTGGGCGCACTTGGCGTATCTAGAGACCGTAATTTCCGGCCTTCGGAGGGCTGGAGCCGGATTAGCCGGCGTATCTAGAGACCGTAATTTCCGGCCGTTCGGAGGGCTGGAGCCGGATTAGCCTGCCGCGGAGAGGCATCGCGGAGACGGACCTCGCCGCAACGTTTTTGCAGCATACGACCGCGGCCGAAATGAGGCCTCAGATTTTTGTCTATTTTAGTACCAAAATTAAAGATGGGGAGAAGGGATTAAGACCAGTAGGGGAGAAGAGAAAAACATAATAT